TTATGGCAAGTGTAGCTCACAGGGCAGATAGAGAATAAGCCTGTCCTGTCCTCTCTTTTGCTCTCTCTCTCTTTCTCTCTCTCTCATTCTCTCTTTTGCTCTCGCTCTTGCACTTCAGAACTTTCAGGCTTCCAGTGTCAACATTTAAATGAACTATCTATAAAGCTTCAAGAATGAAGGGGTAGAAGTCCGTTCCCAGCTGCGGGAGACTCCTCCTACCTCCTCACCATATTCACTGTGTATCCATGTGGTAGCTATTGCTTTCCTTTTCTTGGATTTTTTTCTGTTTTACAGGCCTAAAAAAAAAAAAAAAATCATTTGATGCTTTTTGTGTACTTTCTGCACCCTGTCTTTGCAGGGTGGTATCTGGTTTCATATTAGGTCTTTTTTATTCTGGTTAACAAAAATGATTCAGCCCTCCCAATGTGTTGGAACTTTTCCTGCTACGTTAGGAAAGGCAGTTAGTTTCACTGTCAGGGCAGAACTGAGGATCAAATGAAGCTGGTCCTTAAGAGTAAGCTGTCTGCCCTTTTCCCCGTTGGGAGCAGTCCCTCTCTGTCTCGGCATGGGCAAAGATAGAGTAAGCTCTTCTGTTGGACCATATGCTAATACGGTGCTGATAAATAAGTGTGGAAAATGAGAGGAAGAAATGCATTAATTATACCCGTTCAATAAGGTATACTGTGCAAGGTAATTATTTCATGACAGTTTTAGTTGTAGTACTTGTTTTATTGTGAAATGAAAGATGGTTTTAGGAGCCTTTTATTGGAAAGACAATTGTATCAAATTAGTACAAATTAGATTTTTGTCTTTACAAAGGTGAGCAAACCCATGAGCAGTTTTTAAATTGATGTGTTCTAGTCTACAAATGAACAAATTCTGTTTGAGGGTTAAAGAAGCTATCATTTTGTCCTTTATGCTGACAGCTTCATTACAGATTGGCCTACTGTTGGCATTTAAAAAAATGTTTGGCTCCTTACGATCTTTGTGCATGCAAGTACAATATTATGCAGCGCCATCGCACTGTTCATTAAGAAATGACTTTAAATGAGGTTGAAGCGTGTAAATTTAGAAAGATACAGATGTTAAATGCAGTCGTTTCTCTTTGTGTACAGCTGCATGGCTAATAATTTCCAAGTGGCTAAAGCTCTTGTTAGCAGGAGTGCTGGTGTGTTAAGAATGGCTCTATAAATAACTTTAAGAACTGAAGTTGAAGGTGCTTCTTTTAAAGACTATTGTTAACTAAACATTATTGCCAAACAGATGGAAAGCATTCACCAGCCTGATGTTTTTAGGTCTAATTATATTATCGCCAGCCCTGTACGGCTCAGTTGAAGAGGTGTATCCAGAGGCCAATTTATAATCATTTAGCCAACACCTGTTTGGGAGAAATTGACAGTCAAAGGGCACATTTTAAAAAATCACATATGTTCTTGTGTTTATTGCCTCAATGTGAATGGCATCTCGTTGCAAACAAACTTGGTAGGAGAAGAAAGTAAATGTAAATAACCCAGCACTTTCCAGCCCCGTTTATCCATCTTAATTTGGCCTTTTTATCTAATCTGCTTCATGCTTCATGGCTAAGTGAGGCCAGCAAAGAGATATCACTCCTGATTTATGCTGGGATGTTCTGTTCAGTCAGCTGAGATGCTTCGATTCATCGTATGGCTCCAGTGCCTTGTGCCCAGTGAGATGCTTCCTATTTCATACAGCAGTGTCTTAGTCAGGTATCATTGGCTTTCTGGTGAGTGGCCTCACAGAGTTACAACTTGATGTCAAAATAAGTGAGATCGAAGGAGCACTAATATCGTCCCAGATTCAACAGGTGTTCTCGAGCCTGCCTCTGCAGAGAGCAGGCAAGGCGCCTCCGCTTGCACTCATGCTGTAGTAACTTCACGTTCAAGGTTTATATTCTCTGATGTGCCTCTGTGCTGCGGAGGTTTAAGCTTTATGGTGAGTGTAGCTCACAGGGGAGATAGAGAATAAGCCTGCCCTCTCTGACAATAATAAGAATCCAGACCTTTCTTTGGACAGACGATCTCACTAATACTTTAGTTATAGCATTTGTTCCTTCTTCTGTCTTGCCTTCACAATGCAAAGATTTTTATGTAGAACTGCATTCACTCCTTACTGACTCAGCAGTCCCCTGTGTAAAGCAGTGCCGACTGGGGCTTCCTCCCCACGTCAGTCCGGGGGTGTCTCTTGGGGCTTTAAAGGACAGGTGACGACTCAGTGAAGTGTTTTCTTTCCCTGAAGTCGGACTTGCTGTGTTTTCATGCTTTTCTTTGCATTTTTCTGACTACACTTTAGGGGGTTCTTGGATCCACCCACAATATTCCAACTATGTGTGATTTGCAGTCTTTAGAGGTAGTACTTTTTTCACGAATCGTAGCTTAGCAGCTAAAGAGGAAGGCGTCTGGGGCCGGACTGCCTTGTTTAAATTTTACCTTGTCCACTTCTTAGTGTTGAGAGCAGGGTAAGTCAACTTTTATATTTGTTTCCTCCTTTTTAAAATTGGAGTAAAAGATACTTGGTTATTGAGAGCATTGTGCGGTTTTGTTCTGTAAGGCCCAGCACAGTGTCTTGGAATAAAGGAATGGTGCCCGTGGGTCAATCTCATGCCTTCAACTTTTGTCCCGTGGAAAATGCCCAGATACAGAAATTTAGCTCTGCCTTATTCTCTAAGCTTCATACCTATAGTGCCATCTGACTTTTAAACTTTCAGAACTGTACTCCTAGCTACGTATTTTTGAATGTTAACTATGTCTGCACAAAGCATCATGTGATAGAAGAAATAGTCCTTTTGCTCCACTGCTCTCTTAACAAATCACTGCCAAGTTAGCTGCCTAAGACAGCGTAGTGTGTTATCTGAAAGTTCTGGACACCACAAATGTGAGATGGTTTCACTGGTCTGCAAATCAAAGTGTTGCATGGCTTACTGGAGTCTCTGGAGAGAACCTGCTTCCCAGCTCCTTTGAGGTCCTGGCTGAATTCTGTTTCTCTAGTTGTAGGTCTGAACTCAGCTTCCTTACTGGCTGTCAGCTGAGGGCTGACCTTTCCTCCTGGAAGTTCCCTGGGTTCCTTCTCACGCTTGTACTGGGTTCCCACATGCCTCCCTGTGGGTTCTTGCTCGTGGGTCTCTAGATTTCAGAGCGAGCAACCACGCACTCATCTCATACTCTGATCTCTCTGATTTACCTACCTGCCTTTCTTCTGGCAGGAGATACTTTTCTGCTTGTAGGGGTTTAGATAGTTCTATGGAATCCGTCAAGATAATCCAGGGTAATTTATTCTGAGTATATCTGCAGAGTCTTTGACCCATATCTGCATAGAGCTTGAAGTCTGGCTGGGTGATAGACATGTGAGCAAATAAAACCAATTTAAAGGACTAGAGATGCCACAAGGAAGTCAGTACTGTGTTAAGTAGGAGAATAAAGGAAGGAAGCTGCCAGTGTTATAGAGAGACAGAGGGATATTTGCACAGAATGTGGAGAGATGAGTACTTACCTGCTAAGTGGGTAGGAGGGCATTCCAGAGAGAGACAGCAGTAACAGGGATAATAATAATCACTGGCTGTGGTTTTATACGATCACCTTACTGAATCCTCACAAATGGTACATGATATTAGCTGCTATTATAGCTTCTACGCTTTATAAAGCTACAGTGTCACCAAGTGTAGAACAGGAGTGGTGAAATTATCAAATTGTGTTGTGGTGGGTGAAAGTGTAGAGAGTGGTGAAGAGAGGTGCTTGGGAGAATTGACTCAGTCACTGTCTGTGAGTGTAGGAGATGGGGACCTCAGGTGGCACCTCAGGTGGACCTCCTTAGTTTAGGACTTGTGTGGAGGGTGGCATTATTCAGTACCTTGGAGGAGGAGCAGGGTTTCATGGCTCCCTTTGTGCTACAAAGGGCAGATCTGAAAAGCAGCAGCTGGGACTGCATGGACCCATGAAACCTCCAGTGTTTCCCATCTGGCCCTTTGCTGAAAAGTTTGCCAGCCTTTGCCATGGCATGTAGAAATAATAATTAAAAAGATATGTGGTAGGGTAATTTCTAAGCTCTGTTCTGTCTTGGCCATCAGGCTGGGGGTGTGTGACAGTTTGGGGTGGGGGCAGAATGTGAGTTTGTGAAAGGTCTCGAAGCTGGTTTACAGTTTACGGAGTTAGAGTCTTCCGCTCAGTGAGAAGTGAGGAGCTGTGTGATCTAAGCTACGTGTGAAAAAGACCTCGGCTGCTATTTTGAGATGAGACTGTGAGGCGACAAAGACAGGAGCCGGGAGATCAGGTGGGAGGCCAGTGCTCCCAGCGAGGGGAGCCTTGGGCTGTACTTGTATCTGGGTGTTAGTGGAAGTGGGGCGCTGAGTGCACTCTGAGTGCGTTTTGGGGATAGAGCCGATGGGATTTGCCAATGGTGAGAAGAGGAGTTAGGGATGTTTAGGCAGAGCCGAGACCTTAGTTGCTGAGCCCACAGGACGGCAAGTGCCTACATAGGAGATTTCAAGATGAAAGTTGGGGCTTAAACAGTTTTTAAAAACTGCTTCCTTTTCATCTTTTCAGTTCCATGCAGAAAAAATTCTTTAACATGTTCCGACCTGCTTGAGCCACTGGAGGTACATCCACAATTGTCCCACCAGGCAGCCACTTGTACCACCGGATGGGCCTGTCCATGCTTCCCTGTGGGACCATCATGCTTGTGCCGCTGTGGCTCAGAGCCGCCTGGCAGTCAGGCATCTGAATTACGGCCGTGTCGTGAACAAGTTATATTCCCTTTACTTTCAAGAAATGCATTTTTAACACAGCAAAAGCATGGCACCTTTAGAGAAAGACATCATAATAAAGTATTTTGGGTGAGACTTTTGAGCCTGTGATTTTTGACTTTAAAAAAAATTATTCAGAAATGAATAATATGGGGGTATTCAATTCTATCCCCCGACTCTTCATTTCCAAAAGTTATTATTTTCTTATGTTATGATTAAATTATCACTCATATCATTTATATAGGTTTTACTTGTAATGGATACAAGGACAAACCAGACGTTCATCTTAAAAGTAAGTAGGATTTGTATGTTTAATGAATTTTAAAATTTATGTTCAAATTGTGCTTTGAAACAAAAGATATTGAATATTTTTTGCATGGATGGTTGACTGTTGTTTATGATGAGCTCTGTTTTTTAGTACTTTTATCGCAGTTGATATATGTGCTGTAGAATACATTTAAAAATAGTTTTATGCCACAGAATATGGAGGAAATAATTTGGATAAGTGGAAGATCACTTTTTGTAGTTTACATCTCAAATGCATTTCATATAGTTTGTGATGATCACATATACTCTTACTTTTGAGATGATCACATGACTGCATTTCTTAAGAACTGAAATTTTATTGGTGTTTAGGAAAACATTATCTATATCTCTGATCTAAATTCAATTTGATTCAGTATATAGAATAGTTTATAAATAAATGAGAAGATAAAAACTCAATTTTATAATTTTGAAATTGTTTTTGGAATCGATTGTGATAGTACATATTCTAAAATATCCTAACTTAAACATCTCCGTAGTATCCAGAAGGTGACTTGATTAATTTTGTGTTTCATTTTCTGAGGATTTTTTTTCTTTTTTTTGCTGAGAAGGCTTGACAGTGGGTCACATTGACATGTACCAAAACACTTTTCCTATTAAGAATATACTCTATCATTGACGTTTCCCAGTTTTTTAAAAACCAGAGTGACCCCACCAAATGTACACACCTGTTCTTTTGGAGGAGACTGTCATAATCTTGGTTCTGTTTTGAAATAGAACTTTATATTTGCTGGCTTAATCTAGGAATACCTTTTGTGTCTCTGGCATGTGAATTGATCTCACAACATCTCCTGCTTTGAAAGATGTACATAAGTAAAATAAAACTTAAAAGGTCATAGAGAAATAACTGCGTGTCATCCTGATGACTTAGTTTGAGAGCATCTCTAATAAAAACACTGACCCACGTAATTGATTTTAATGGCAGCTTTGTGGCATCTTTCGTTCTCTGGATTCATGCCAGATGCCATCAGCGGAGCCTCCAGGGACCGAGGGGCATAGAGCAGCAGATGAGTGGTTTCTCTGAAGCCCGGAGTAACTCGGATAGATTAGTTTGGTTGATAAACACAGAGCACAGCAGGCTCCAAAGGCAGCTGAGGGTACAACTGACCTTTTTGTTCTCTGTCAGGGTCTGAGGAAAAGCAGCGAGTCCAGCAGGAACAGAAAGACCATCATCCCCCGCTGTGTGCCCAACATGGTGTGTCTGCACAAGTACATCGTCTCGGAGGAGTCGGTGTTCCTGGTGCTGCAGCATGCTGAAGGTCGGTGGCCCGTCGTCTCTGCCCGGAGTGCGCACCTGCCGCCTTCCGGTTTCTGTAGACAAAATATGTGAACCCCCTAGGAGACCATTGATCACCCCTCTGCCTGCTCCCTTGTTTTGGGTTGTGAGGGAAATGACAAACGCAACGAAGGACAGATTCCACTTAGACCGCATCCACTCCCTTCCTTACCCGGGTCGTGGGATCTGTGTATGTGACGAGGACCTGTGGGTGACTGCATGCTAAGAAAGTGGGATTTTAAGGATTTTATTTTGTTCTCTCATCTCTACTAAAAAGATACATTTGTGTTAGGTGATGCAAAGAAAAACATCCCCCGAAGAGTTAATTAATTATCTGCTTTTTATAGAAGGCAAGATGTTTGCTTAACATCTGACATTACCTGGCTCTGCGGATCCGAGTCTTTGTGAACACAGCCACTGGCATCACAGATGGGTACAAAGCAGAGGCACAGGGCCCTCCTCTGCCTTCCGACCATGAAACTGCAGCTCTGGGTAGAGGGAACAGGTGGCAAAAAATTATTATGTTTTGATTTGGCTTTGCTTGTTAACACACGAATTTAGTCTTTTATTTAGAATGACTAAATATAGCTCATAAATAGAAATTCACAATATATATATATATAGCAATATATAGATACTGCTTTTTGGTCCTTGAAAATGGTATTCTTAAAATAGTATGAAAAATTATTTGGTGTGTTTCATGATTGTGTTATTATCACTGAGAATTATTACCACTGAGAATAAAGAAATCTGCTTTCCCAATAGACATAATATCTGAATTTAATGCATTTTCTTGGGAAAAGAAGTCATTGCTTTCTGGAATAAGGTCTCTTATGACAACTAATGCAAGATTTTTGATGGGGACAATAAACTATTAATATTGTTTATTATGAAGTACAGCACAAGATAACTACAGATGGAGGGAAAATCTCCATATGCAGTATTTAATAGGAAATTCAGAAGGGGCTCCGTGGTCTCACAGGTATTAAGAGAGTTAATTGCGTGTGTGAATTGGATAACTAATTCACCTTTGTTCAGACATTATAGACAGCTTTTATCTGAGGATACCAGTGCATTACAGACATTATTGAATTAGAGGTCATGTCATCTGATAGCGAAATACAGCCACCTCTGGTGTGGAACAAAATAACTTGCGTAGTAATAATCCATAATAATTTAGAACAAGGTCAGTAGGATGAATGTAATTATAGTCAATAGTCTATTACCCAAGGTGGATTATTCATGTTGGAGATTATCTGGCAATTTTCAATCCTAGCCTGTCTCTGTTATTTGTGGCTCTACCTTCCTCTTCTTCCTCTTCCTTCCAAACCACACTTCTGCTTCTCTTCTGCCATCTGCTCGCCTTGCCTGACACCTCCGAGGGCTGATTCTCCAGTTGGCTTTAATGCGGTTGAACTGTGTTATGTCTTCATGTCATAGACATAGCACATTCAAGTTTGTCACTGTTTTAGATCATCTTTACCAAGACTCTTTGCTGTTACCGTTTCTGACTTGGAGTGACCATAGTTTGAATTTGGGAGGGATACTTCTTTTGATTTTCTTCAGGTGAGGTGTCTATTATTTAATTTAAGAAGTTTTATAAAGATTGTAGCTTAGAGTGCAAATAGAAACTCCCAATACATTTATCATTCAACAAGTTTATTGAGCATGTACTCTTTTTTAGGTGAATAAGCCAGGAATCACCATGTTGAAATCGAAATTCTTTTTCCAGAGGTCAAACAGAAAAATAAAACAGATTCTAAAGGGATGGTCCTCGTCTGTAACCCGGGGCGATGTAACAGAGAACAGCGGAGGGGCCACCGTAGACCATGTCATCCAGGGTCTGTCTGAGGAGGAGATAGTTCATAGAAGTTCTGAGTGGCAGGAGAAACAGCCATTCAAGTCCAGTGCAGGAGAAGAGTGGAAACAAACTCGCAGTGTTTGCTGAGCGAGAAAGGAGACAATTTGGCTGAAGTGCGAGAGAGGAAGGCACCAGTGGTTGGGAGCGACTGGGAAGCCAGCAGAGCCCTGGACAGCAGGTTGAGCCCGGGGGCAGGGCTTTGTCCAGGGACATTGGGAAACCACCAGATAGGATCTGATGTAGTGTTTAAGGTTGTGCTAGTGTTATGCGGGGACTGAGCTGGAGGACTGTGAGTGGCCCGTGGATGGTGATACGTGGCCTTCTGGGGTCCTAGTGCAGAGGCCTTGGGGTAGCTCCAGTGAGCCCTGTGATGGTCAGGATCCGGGAGAGAAGAATCTGTGCTCATTTCCCTGACCTGGTGTGAACACTGGAAGGAACTGGATGATAAATAGGGTGTTATCTTTATTAGATCAGTGGCATTTGATTGGGAGGATCATGGGCTAGGACTGTCGTGTAGCTCATAAAAAGCCACTTTCATATGTGTAAATATTTATTACTGAAAGAGTAAACCTCGAACAATTGTTCCTCCATAATACAGATGGCTGAATATTTATGATTTGTAGCTTTGGTTCCTACTGCTTACAGAAATATTTTTGATTTACTGGAATCTCATAGACTCGTTTTCTTTCTATTTTTGACTCATTCATTTGGACATTTGTTGGGTGCTTACTGGGGGACAGGCATAGTTATAACAAGGTATGCATGAAGGAGGAGGACTCACTTGCACGGAACTTAAACTGAACGATCGAGAAGGAACAGCCAGTAGGCAGACAAGACTCCATGCAAGTGTGATGCAGAAGAATAAAGGAAGGGGGAAGGAAACGCCAGAGGGCAGTCTGTGTAGAGTGGTGGCCTTACTCACAGGTTCATGGCAGGGGTTTACAGGCCGCTGTCAGAACTGGCCTTCCACTCTGCGAGGTAGGAAGCACCTGGCAAGTGCCGAGCAGTGGAGTGACAGTATGGGGCTGTCACGTGGAAAACAGGAGCCAGGCAGCCGAAGGCAGCAGCAGGGAGGCCAGCGTGGAAGTGCAGTGAAGCAAGTGAAAGTGATGGCGTTTGGACATCCAGTTTGTTCATTTTCTAGTAGTATGACAAAGTACCAGAGGCTGGGTAAAGAAAAGAGATTTATTCAGCTTACAGTTGTGGAGGTTCCGGGCCCTAGTGTGAGAATCTGCTCAGTTCTGATGAGGGCCTCGTGCTGAGTGGTGTCCTGGCCGTGGGAGTGTGTAAGAGAGGAAGGGATCACACGGCTGGACAGGAGGTCAGAGCCACCTGGATCCCCCGAGAGCTACAGAATCCCTTCCGCTCTGAGAGCATGACCCATGACCTGATACCTCCTGCAGGCTCCATTTTGAAAGCCACACTGGGGACCAAGCTTCCAAAACATGAGCATTTGGGGGACACACTTAGACCGCAGTAGCGTTAGTAGTGGTGGTGGAGAGGAATGGTTGTTAGAGTTTGTGGTGAGCGCTTTTTGGGGGTCTAAAAAAATTTTGAAGGTAGAACTGATGTGATTCTGCCGTGCATGACTCCAGGGTACTTGCTCTCTCTAGCTCTGTCTTTCTCTATGTTTTGGTGATACTGAGTATTGAACCCATGGCCTTTGCTCTGAGCTACGTCCCAGCCCTGTGTGTGTGTGTGTGTGTGTGTGTGTGTGTGTGTGTGTGTGTGTGTGTCCGCATGGTCTTGGCACAGATTCTGAGTCACTAAATTGCAACTCTTTAGGCTCTTCTCAAACTTGCCACCCTCCTGCTTCAGCCATCCAGTGTGCTGGGATTACAGGGGATCACCACCATGTCTGGCTTGGCCCAAATATTGAAAGAACAGAGTTTCCATTTACTAAGCTGAGGAAACGTAGATTTAGAAGGAAAATCAGAATCTGCATTGGAGATGGAGTTGGAGATCCTTGTTAAAAAACCAAGTGGTGGAGCAGGAAGTGGGAGGTAACAGACAAGATTTCAGGAGAGAGGTTTATGGTTCCTTTTAAGGAGTCTCTTACTGTGAGTCTGTTTGAAGGAAAAGGGAGAGGGACCAACATATTCGGACAGACGTGAGCATTTGAGCATCTAGAATGAGGGCCTAGGTTGTAACCTTCAGCCAGCACTGCAGAAGGGGCCAGTGTGCAGGGGGCGGGTCTGGCTCCAGCTGGAGAGGGGCCAAAGGACCAGGGTGGGGAGACTGGGCTTGGGGAAGCCAGCATGTGGGCACCAGAAGGGAGCGGGGAAGGAGTTTCCTCCTAGACACACAGACTAAAGTGGCAAAATAATCCCCTTTTTATTAGCTACTTTATAAAATTATAGAGCTAATCTGTAAACAAATAAATTCAAACTCTGTAGAAGTATATAAAATTCTCCTCTCTGTTCGCCTTCATGCCCAGAAACAAACACTTTTTAAACACTTGTACTGGGTTTGTCTTTTAACAGTTTTTTGTGTGTAAACATGCACCCCTACCTGTTTCTGTGTTGTTTTTAATGATAAGTGGCTCTTCATGCGGCTTTTTGTAGTAGCTGGTCCAAGCAGGGGCGTCCCACGGCTTGGTGTTCAGGGAGGCAGCCTGGTGAGCCGGGTCGTGGGGTGCGAATGCTGGCTTGCTGATACTAGTAGGGAGACCTTGGGCAAGTTACTCACTCTTTCCTCCTTGTAAAGTAGGACGTAAAAATTAGCTACCCTGTCAGGTCAATGTGGGATTTCAACCGCCAATATGTATCCAGTATTTAGACTCATACGTGGAGTGTGGTGAATGCTATGCATTTGCAAATATTGCTATGATTTTCTTGAGTAGATACAAAGTGTTTTATCATAATTTACTCCTCTACTAATTGATATTTAAACTGTTTCCACTACTTATACATAAATATCTTTGTGCTTATTTATTTGTTTTGTACAGAGACATCTTTTATTTTGGTAACATGTCCCAAAACAACACCATTAGTGAAATAGATTCCAGAGAATGAGGCCTCTGCGTAGCTTTCCCTTCCCCAGAATAACAGGGCTGGGCATTTCCTTCCTGCTGGGTTCATCAGGTATGAAAGGGTTTGGTAGTTCTGGGCTTCCCATCAGGCATGAGGCGCTGTGGCTGTGTCCCTCCCTTTCCCAGGGTGTAGCAGCAGAGGGGGTTGCAGCTCTCCCCACCGACAGCCCAGCTGAAATTTTGCCCCAAGCACAATATAGAACCAGAACAAAGAACACATAGTTCCCCCCATTGAGGTGTAGATAGGGCCCTCTGCTTTTTAATTTTTTTGTGGAACAGATTGTTGAAATGGAATTTCTGGGTCAAAAGATGATTGTTCGCATTGCTATACCAGTATTTTATTATATGCATTGAATTTTTTTTTTTGCATTGAATTTTTTTAAGTCTTAATTCTGATCAAGCAAATTAACACAGTTACTGTGTAATCTTGTAGAAAATCAGTAAATTAAAATATGAGAGACAAAAGAGTTTTAATTAAACCTCACACATTACTGTTTTTTGAAGCTTAGGGTGATTCAATAATTGCGATTTTGAATGCTTCAAAGGGGCTTAGAAAAATTAAAACTACAAATATTTCAGGTGTTTCCTATTTGTATTTTGTGATTTGGCAATAGCAGAATTTGTAAGGCTAGCATTGGTATTGTTATAGTAATAATGCTGATATGTAAGTTTGTTAGCTGGATGTTAACTCTGTAGACAGTAAAAGCCTGTCTAGCTCTCATGGTTGAGAAATTTTAAAGTGAGTAATGCATCCCTGTAGATTTGGATTTTCATGATTTTACAACTGAGAAAAGATGGGGTGTGACCAAAATTTTGTTTCTTCAGTTCCGTATTGAGCATTAAGTTTCACTGGGCATCAACAGAGAATGAGAAAGAGCTAAAACAGTCTGTTTTTCCCTCTTGAAAACAGTTTTTATAATTTATGCTAGGGTACTTACATAGGTTGGGAGCAGATTCCATAAAGAAAATGCCAGTGATCAAATTTAAAATTTTTATCTAGTAATGAAAGCTTTGGAAATTAGATAGGTTGCCATTCTGATTAATCCAGTTACTAGACCACGTATGATGCGGGCAGCTTGCTGTAAAGATGGGACTGCTATGAATCACTTACAGGAGCCGATTTTGCTAAAGCATTTTAGCAACATATAGCAAACACATTAAAAATATTCATGCGTCTTGGTTTAGTACTTTCATTTCTGGGATTCTGTCCCAATGAAATAATCAGGGATGCCAAATATTTGTGTGTAAAAATATTTATTATTGTAATTCTAATAGTAGAAGACTGGAAGCAACTTAAATGTCCAACAGAGGAACATTTAAATACATTGTGGATATGCAGTGCAGCCACCGAAGCTCACTTTTTAATGAAAATTAGAAAATGTTTACGAGCGGATGTTAATTGTGAATGAGGAACTGAAAATAAATATAGTAAGGGTTTAATAATGTTTATCATTAGGTGGTGGGATTATGGATGATTTTTATTTTTGTCTTTTAGTTTTCTGTATTTTCTGAAAATGTTGCAATACGACTGTTAGTTTTAAAATTGAATGAAAATTTGACCTCTCCTAAAATGACATTATTAGTACTTACAGCTTTTCTTCATTGAAAGGTTTAAAATTTTTTTGTAAAGTTGGCATCCTTTTATATAAATATTCATTTAATATCTATTTTAGTGTAGTAGACAGAATCCCCTGCTTGCAGTTGTTAAGACCTTGCAGTCTGGTAAAGGAGATAAGAGAAACATGGAAGTCATATTCATGTGAAATAGAATGTTGTAAATGTCATAGGAGGGATGAAGCAATATAAAGGACTCGGAGAAGACAGAAATTGTCTGCAGCGAGAGGAAACAAAGAAGCTGGTCTAAGAGAACAAATTCTGAAGCACCTTCAAGAATGGGTAGGATTTTGACAAGTACGCGTTGGAGAAATTAGTAGGGAAAAAATTCTCTGCTCAGTGTAGTATAAGGAAAGCCCAGCCTGAGTCTGTGGGGAAACCCCGTTCAGAATGATGTAATAAGGGCAGGATCCAGGCGTGAGGTAATACTGTGTCCTGAAAGGTCTGAGAGCCAGTGTGGAGCTGGCGCATGGTTCAGTGGGTAGAGGGGATTGCGTTCCTGAGTGGAGAGATGGTATAGTCAAATCGATGCCAAAGCGGAAGATGAGGTGAGCAGCAGTGCATGTGATAGAAAGCAGGCACCTCAGGCAGGGTCTAGCTGGACCTCCAGGTTCTCCCAAGAAGCACAGCGTGTTCAGAGAATTTGGAGAACAGGAAGTCTGCAAGAGGCATTGAAAGTAGGTCCTACAGGACTTGGAGACTTGTCAAACAGGAAGAGCAGAGAAGAGAAGCGATCCAAGTCTGATCCAGTTTGAGGGACAGTAATAATTTAAGTGCACTGAACTTCAGATTTCAGCAGCTCCAGGTGGAGGTGGCCTAAGAGCAAATGAAACTCGCCTTTGAACTTTCTTAGGTAGTGTTTCTTGCCGACTACTGAAAGCAGGTGGTGTCTGCGTGGGATGGCGTGTCTCCTGAGGTGTCGTCATTTGATGTGACAGCTTTGGGCAGGCGCCTGCCATGCCCTGCACCCTGAATAGTAATTAGGCAAAGAACTTGGTCCTTTCCTTCATGTTGTCCTCATCTAAGAGAAACCACCAGTGCTGTTGTTTGGATTGCATAAGAATTTCAGTTTCAGGTTCAGGCATTTTTTTTTTTTTAATTAGAATGCCACAGTGTAGGCATTTGTGATGAGAAGAATGTGGTTTTGTTGTCAGAAGACAAAAAATTAGGGAGTAAATCCCTAGCTGTTTTTTGTGAGTGAGCCTGAAAATTTAATGTCAGTTGTTAATCATTAGCTTCAACACAGGGATTTGTAAAACGTTCTAAAGAGGACAGAATGCAATCCTCTAAGAAACAATGAGAGGGAAAAGTTGTATCTGTACCATTATTACCGAGGGGAAAGACTGCTAACTAGATCACTGGCCGAAAGAGATGTGGGAATGAAAATCCTGGGATTGGTATTGTGACAGTTACCTTTTATAGAGCATTTATTCTATGTTAAACATTGGCTGAGGTGCTTTATTATAGTTGCATCTGTTGTTTTGTTGTTGTTTTTGTTTCTTGAGACAGGGTCTCACTATGTATTTCAGGCTGGCCTTGAATTCTACATAGCCTAGACTGGCCTCCAACCCACAGTGGTCTTCCTCCCTCAGCCTCCTAAGTGCGAGGATCACAGATGTGTGCCATCACACTTGCCTTTTGCATTTATTGTTTTTGAGATTTCTGGATCAAATGTACTTTTTTCTTTTTATACTTTTTTGATATATTTAACTTGAAAATTTACAAAGGAGAACAGTTCTTTATTGCTGCCTTTTGGTAAATCAGTTGACTGATGTAAACAAATGCCTGTGTACACTTACTCTGGATCTTAGAGAGCACTGATTTCTTCTGTATCTGTTTTATGATGTTTTTAATGAGTACAGTTTTCAGTGTCCAGTTCTTATTAGTTTAGTTTAGTAGCTGCATATCGTGGTATAGGATCGTAACAGCTTATCCCATTCATGGCTGCCCCATTAGTCCTCCCTGGTTTATGGTACTTGACATGTCTCACGGGGCATGAGATAGGGAAATACGTCATTTATAAAAACACAGCATGTACACATTTCCCCTCTAATTCTCTAGTGGGCCTTTTCAAAGTGGAATAATATTGTTAGCTTTTTTAAAAGCTGTACTCCACAATTTTAAACCACCTTATATATTGCTGCTTGCTCAATTATTACATTAGCAGACCAGAACATAATTATCTGTTTCTAAGATGAAGTAATAGTGAAAGCAAGATTTTAGCTGTGACATTTCATATTAGTATTGGTTATAACTGATTTCCCTTCAGAAGAAATAGGTTGTTATTTTAAAAATAGTTGATATCAGAAGATATATTTGAAATCATACTTTACAGATATTAACAAAATTTTAAAATTATATCACATTTTACTAAACGTTCTGTCTTACAGCACGATTGATATTAATGAACATCACTGATGTGTTTGATTATTAGAAAATACCTGTTTTTTAGAATGGCTTAAATAAATGCCAGTTTGAAGGTCTTAATGTTTTTTGTTTGTTGTACTTGTTCACAGGTGGCAAGCTCTGGTCGTATATCAGTAGATTTCTGAACAGAAGTCCCGAGGAGAGCTTTGACACTAAGGAAGTGAAACAGTGCGGGCTCTCCAAAGCTCGCCTGCAGCAGCCCGCCGCCAGCCCTCAGGACAGCGGCAGCTTGGAGTCCAGAGAGAGCGATGGGGGAGGCTTGCTCCGAGTTCTGCCTCTGAAGACTAGTCTCACTCCCAGTTCTCAAGAGGACAGCAACCAGGAAGACGATGGCCAAGACAGCTCTCCAAAGTGGCCTGATTCTGGCTCAAGTTCCGAAGAAGAATGCACTACTAGTTACTTAACGTTATGCAATGAGTATGGTCAGGAAAAGATCGAACCAGGAACTTTGAACGAGGAGCCCTTCATGAAGACAGAAGGGAGGGATGTTGATGCCAAAGCCCTCCATAGCTTCCCGGCTCGCCCTGCCGCCGAAGGTGATGGCTCCAGCACCCGGCCAGGAACTCATGTGCTCAAGTTCTTCCCTGGAAATGAGGACCCAGAGACGGTTCCTTCTCCAGGAACATCCAGTTCCCTTAGCAGATCAAAGAACAGTCCCATGGAGTTTTTCAGGATAGATAGCAAGGACAGCACAAGTGAGTTTCTGGGACTTGATTTTGGTGAAAAACTGTACAGTCTGAAATCAGAACCCTTAAAGCCTTTCTTTGGTCTTCCTGATGGAGACTGCGCTTCTAAGAATTTTATTGCCGGTGAAAGCAGAGTCGAGTTTACAGCCCTGGACACCATTAGCAGGGGCTCAGATGACTCAGTCCCAGTTATTTCATTTAAAGATGCAGCGTCTGATGATATCGCTGGTACTGATGAAGGAAGGCCCGATCTGCTTGTAAATTTGCCTGGTGAATTGGAGCCACCGAACGAAGCTGCAGCCATGGGACCTACTAAGTTTACACAGACTTCCTTAGGCAGAGCAGAAAACAAGCTGCTGGAGGCCCCAGATGTACTAGGCCTCAGGCTCAGCACTGAGCAGTGCCACACCCCTGAAGAAGAAGGCTCGGGGAACCTGCGTGGTCCCTCTAGGCCCAGGTCCTGGAGCGTATCTGAGACACGCGATGCCCAGGAGGATCTGGGGGTGTTATTTGTAGCAGCTGTTAACCGCAGCCATTCTGAAGACCCGTCTTTATCACACAGCTCAGATCCTAAGTTTGGACTATTTGGAGTAGCTGAGTCAGCATTAACCGCAAACAGCGCGGAAGGAAGCTTCTCCCGTGTTTCTAACCCACTCCCAGGTGCTAACGAATACAGTGCCAACGCAGACACTTTCAGAACACAAGAAGTATTGCTGTTCACAGATCACATCGATGACTTGGCTAAAGAGGAACCTGCTTCTTTATTCCAAAGAAACTCAGAGTCTGAGGGCGAGCGTGGGCTAGCACTGGAAGAGGACAAGGAAATCCATCAGATTTTTGAGGACCTTGATAAAAAATTAGCACTAAACTCCAGGCTTTATATCCCAGAGGGCTGCATTCAAAGATGGGCAGCTGAAATGGTGGTAGCCCTTGATGCTTTACATAGAGAGGGAATTGTGTGCCGCGATTTGAACCCAAACAACATCTTATTGAATGATAGAGGTCAGGAACTTCTGCAAATGCATTTCTTTTTATTCGCTGTTGCTTCCAATTAACTGAGTAGGCGTTTTATCTTGTAATTAGTATCTTCATTTCCTGTCTAGAGCTTCATTATCAGTGCGGCAAATTCACCCCCAGTAATAGCTTCTAGTACTTAATGATGCCATTATTCTTAATGATACTGTTTTTAGCTACAAAAGGAGTAATTACAGTTCACTTCTGCAGAAAATGGAAGAGAAAAATGTTTTGATTTCTCCTGTCGTTTTGTTTTTAGGACACATTCAGCTAACGTATTTTAGCAGGTGGAGTGAGGTTGAAGATTCCTGTGACAGCGATGCCATAGAGAGAATGTACTGTGCCCCAGGTTAGAGCAATCTCCTAAAATGTTTCACTTGAAAAAGTGGCTCGGCAGCTCTCGTTTCTTTATAGGAGTTATATATTTCACTAGCCGTCCACATGTGTGTTGGATTTGGTTGTCTCTTTTCTTATCTTGCAAAAAAGAAAATTACGGGATAAACCATTACATAATCCACAGATACATATTTATATGTATATATGGGTATATATATATCTGCCGTTCTTGCTAAGAGTTCATACTTCCCTTGCGGTGGGCTGTTAAAAATGTCTTAACCTAGTGTTTCAAAGAACCGTTTAATATCTTGAACATTTTTACATGGATTTTTTTTTTTAACATGGATGGTTTTTATAAGAGGCAAGAAGTAGCAGACGAGCAAAATTCATAAGGTTAAAAATGAGTAAAAGTGAAGCATGTTGGAAATGCATGTGATTTCAGTGATGGGTCAGCCTGGCATTTCAGAACCTATTTTAAAGAGTTCTTTCCATATTCAGGTAACTAGGAAGTAGGTCCTTGTTTTAAAAAGTACCCTGTGTAGCCGCTATATGGCACAGCAGGTTTCTCCTGTCGTTACTATCGTGTGTGTATATATATATATATATATATATAAATTTTTTTTTAATCGGTACCAGGGATTGAACTCACAACCGCCTGCTTACAAGGCAGGTGCTTATGCTGCTGAGCTAAATCCCCAGCCCTGTGTTTATATTCTTAAAATTAGCGATTTTTTGCTGTGCACGTTTGATCCTACGTTGACAGTTTTAAGCAGCTTAAATATATAAACTGGGTTTGAGTTACTTTCCATTATGAGTGCAGATTGTGATCTGTTTGAATCGAAAGTTTGTTCACTTTTTGCCCAGCGCTTAGCCTCTTTGGACGACCAGAGTCATCACCCCAGACCTTTAAAGGAGTCTTAAGTTAATCATGTTCAGGCGATCTTGGCTTTTGATCTGTGTTGTTGGGCAGAGTGCTGGGGACTGAACTCAGAGTGCTGTAGTGCTTAGCAACAGCGCTGCTGCTTTCACCTTTGGAGCAAGGGTCTTGCTTAGTGGCCCAGGCTGACCTTGAACTTGCAGTGGCCAGCCGCTGAGACTGCAGACTTGCGTCACCACACCTGGCTTCAGTACAGTATCGAATGGCTGTGAGCCGGCCAGTAAGTGGTCACCAGCTAATCTTGTTCAGTTCTGGTATTAGGCAATTATTATAATTAGGATTCTTTTTAGCTATAATCGTCATTGTTAAGAATTACTTCTGTACTGAGGAATGGCAAAAATTTTCAACTTACAGAGCAAATATCCTAAAACTTTCCCCAAACGATCATTTGGGAACTGTCACTCCCTTGAGTTCTTTGCATGTTTTTTTCTTTATCCTTTTCTCAAAGTAGAACTCTTTGATTTTAATTTTTCCTAGAGAAAACAAAACACTCCTATAATTTTTTCTCAAATAAATAACATGATGCCATGTCTTGAAACCTTATTAGTAAGATGCAGTTAATGTGAGAACAAAAAACTTTGAAGTGAAATCACTTTATTATAGTTTTCTGACTCTTGTTTTACAACTCCCCCAACTTTCTAATTTGTTAAGAAATAATGTTTTAGGTATTGGTCAACATACATAAAAATACTTGTTAATTACAAAAATTTGGAGGTTTTAAGATCCAAATTAAATTTTAGGGTTCTTTTGTGAGGAGCCTATTGCATGCTGAAGTGAGTGTAAAATGTAGAACAAAACCAAGCATCTGTGGGATATTATATTTATAACTGACCCCTTATTTCCTGTTCTTGTTACTTTTATATTGAAAATCGTAATGTATTTTGACATCCTAGCAGATTATTTTTCTCTAGTATTAAGCAGAGTTTGGTTAATATTCAGAGTACTTTGGCGTCCTGAGAGCTGTAATATGTGTGGGGTGACACAGTACTGCATTCATCAGTGGATACACACTCAGTTTTGTCTACTGAAACAGAGTTTAAGTTCCAAATCATGCTTCTCATGGTGTACCAGCAGGTGGCAGTGTGCCATTAATGGATTTTTTTTTTTTTTCCTTTTCTGTCCTCTTCCAGGTTGTCCTTCAGTAGCAGTTAGGAATGAAAGAAAAACAAAAACCAAAAACCTGGAGTCTAAAGAGGGGCTTTGTTACACTTGTTTGCATAAAAGAATTGTCCTTTGTGCTTTGTGAGTTTCACAAGTGTTCTAGTATTATGGCATGCACTGAATCATATGGAAAGTTTTGTCTGTCTATGGGTCTCTTAACTTAGCAACAAAGTGAACTCAAACCGGTGATGGCCTTAACAGAAAAGTAATACCAGTATGCTAATTTAGGTGATCACAACTCTAGAGATTCAGTCCACTTTTCCGTTGCTTAAAATACTAGGAGATTTGGACCGGAAATTTATTTATTTAGTGCATTGTCATCCCCAAATCATTCACCCAGAGCACAAGACATCTGCCTTCAATTGTCTGAACAATATGAGTACAAATCTTTCTCTTCAGTGAACTAAGAGAAATCAGCAGTATAACTATCTTTAACTATCTTTTATACATATACATACATATATAAATGTTTTTTCTTTCAGCCTGTCACACTAATGAAACAATATGATGTTTATTTATTTCACTAATAAGTATATTCTCAAGGTGCATCCATTTACCTATAAAAGTTGGACTGAAAATTTGTAACTGACCAAATAGCAATTGACAAACACTGTAAGTAGGCCTTCTTCTCTTTTCTTAAGTGGTGGCAGTAATGACAGTATTTCAGTGTTTAAATGTCACCTCAGCCCTCTGGGAGGTCAAGGCAGAAGGGTCGAAGTTTGAGCCCAACCTGGGCAATTTAAGTGACTTCATGAGACCCTGTTTCAAAATAAAATTTTTTTAAAATGACTGGGGATGTTCCTCAGTGTGAAGGCCCTGTGTTCAATTCCCAGTACTACAAATGTAGATAAGTAAAAATTATAAAAATTAGTAAGTAGTGGGATACTTAACTCTCTTTTGATATATCCTTAGAAACAGCAGGGGGTGACCTAATTTCCTCTCCCAGGCCTCCCCCACCCACCCTAACGTTAGTATTTTGTGAAAGTAAGCGGCTCCTGTTTGGTAGGAAAGTAAAGTTGTCACAAGATTCTGATGAGAAGCCCGGCTTCTGTTTAAACAGCATGCAGCCTCTCCCCTCCAGCCCTCCCTCCTGGGAACCCTTATCACATATTTGCCCTAAAAACATTACCCACCTGCCTTGTGCTTTATAATGGCAGCTGCATATCTCTTTATCTTGTGGGTGATGTGCCTTTATATTTTGAGAAAAATTTCCAGTAACAGATTCGATTTACATGGACAGAAACTTGAGCAAATGCCAGACTAGCAGGGGGGCCATTATTCTGCTCTATAAATAAGTTTAAAACAGAAAAAACCACACACAGAAACCTGTGAATCAACATGTTTTGGTCTAATTGAGGGGAAAAGCAAGACAGATAAATTTTGAAATGCAAATGATCACCTTCTGTTGTTTAAGAACAGTTTCTGCCAACTTTGTGTTCTTAGCTGTTAAAACGTCCTGAGCAGTTCAGCACCGCGTATGGCCAACAAAGTCCAGTGTTCGCAAGTTTCTGCAACAAACCTGAGACCTTTTCACAAAGTTGCCTCTTTAAATATTAAAACAAATCCAAACAGAAAAAAGACAAAAGCCATGGCACTGTCTGCGTCTACATCTGTGGAAAAGCCAGGACCTAAACGCTGCAGCTGCAGACCTATCCAGTGGGCCTCGAGAATACGAATTCAATGATCAAACTCAGCCCTGATTTCAAAGGCGAACCCATTGCTTTTAGGTCCACTTTGTATGCTTAGATGATGCAGGATGGTTCTGTAGGAAGGCTTTATTTTAAATAAACATCACTAGTGGTAAATGGTTCCTCTTGTACTGCAGAATGGAGTTCAAGAAGAGAGGAAGCAAAGAAATGGTCCACAAAGCAGGGGCAAATTAGGTGGCGTGGCAGTGTAAACACATACGGGCTAGTTGCTGTGTTAGGAGGCTCTTAGATACTTTATTAGGAGACTTAAACAGGTTCTTTTTTATTGTGAGAGCACAGGAAAAAAAGCTGGGCCACATTATATATTATTTTCCTAAGAACTTGCTTATAATTATTCTAATTTTATTTCTGTTTGAGCACACACACACACACACACAGGCATGTCTTAACCAAAGGATCTTATATGCTTTATCATTTGATACTATAAATCTTTGCTACGATACTTAAGTATAAAGGAAAAATAAAAGAAGATGTCAAGGGAATACTTAATTTTTTTTTGGTTACCCCTATTTTTTTTCTGACCAGTATTAACTCTCATTTTTAAAAAAGCAGCCAGAAAAATAAGTTTCACACTATTAACCATATAAAGCACAAAAGACTATATTTGAAAGTTTAATATAAGCCCTAACACAAGTGAGTAAAATTATGTTATTTTGCTAATACTTTATAATCATTTGTTTCCCATTTTGGTCTTCAGCAAGTTGATATGGTGCCTATTAGCGTCTTCAATTTTATTTTCTACCCAATTATGAACCTTTTAATTTAAATGCTTGAAATTTACAATATTATTTTTCCCTGAATGCTTTTCAGACTGCAGAATTTCTGGGTGAATATGTGTGTAAATTGAAGACGTCCATAATGCTTTTCACTGCAGCCCAATCTCCACGCTCCCAGATGTCAAATGACAGCTTTGCTTCCTCTGTTAGGTGATTTCACACTTGAAAACAGCTCACAGCTGATGGGGAAAAGTGAAACATAGAAAAACCATGCGGAAGAGTATCTGCAAAATTCAGTTTCAGAGCATGACTTTGTTTACTACCGTCTTTTGCTCAAATACCCATGAATATATTTTTCGAGGCTAGTCTCTTCTGCCCTTCTCCATAAACATGCTTTCTGCTTGATTTCTTTCTTGTTAAGCATGGTATTCTGTGTGATGTTAGGTATTTTATAATTAAAAGTAGAACTCAGAGCATGGGTGGTTTAAAA